TTTAGGAGGTAAAAGAAATTTAGCAAATATGACATAATCAAGATTATTTTTTTTTTTAAATTTGAATTATTATTAATTACATTATGAACAATGTAGATCTTGTTTTAAAAGACAAGATTATTGTTTATGATCTTGGGAGTCAGCGAATTGGTTGGGCTAATTACGACTGTAAGTAATCTTATAACATCAATTTTTTCCATAAAAAAGAAAATAGTCGATAATTATGATTTGACTTTGAAAAATCAAAGATGCACGGATTATTATTTATTAAAAAATTATAATCTTGTATTATTTATGTTATTAGGTTCGATGCTTGTAAATGTGTCGACTATGTCAAGTGGTGGAACAAACGAGCATGTGAATGCTGGTCAAATTGGTGGTAGTAATTCATTGCAAGATGAATGTAAAAAGATGATCTTGATGATGGTTGTGTTCCAACTATTTGTAGTTTTTGTTTTTTCATAATCAAGATTTGAGCAAAAGTTGTTAGAGGTTTTCTAGGGTGGTTATTCTTTTATATGTATATTGGGAAAAAAAAATAAAGTATTTAGTGTTATATTATTTTAGGCCACGGGAAATAGATTAATTGGAACCAAGAATTATACATGTATATAAAGAGGAACTACATGTTCAGTAATGCTTATCACCACTTGAGACTCTCTTATGTGTTGTGGATGTACAAATTTAATGCAATTATATATAATCACATGGATAATGTCATAGTGAAGAAGTAGGGTTTTGATTTTTCAAGGGTTGGCTAACATTAGTAAAGAAGTGAGTTTTAGCTAACTATGAAGATTAGATGGGATCACTAGTTATGGAATAATGATTTAAAAGAGAAGAATAACGTAATGTGGTTGTTTTTGTCATTTCCATTATAAAGTTATACTCTTTACCTTTGTTGTGTTCTAGCTTGTATTGTATTATTGTAGTCAGTTGTGGTAAGTGGATATACAGTTATGGTGAACAACTTATTCACACGCTTTACTATAAAAGAAGCAACCTCCATCAAGATCATCTTCTTAGTTCTTACATTCATCTTGCAATGAATTAGAAAGAAACACTTAAAGCTCGTGGATGACAAAGCATATTTTAGAAGGGTAAATTACATGGATAGTCCCTGTGATTTAGAGTAATCTGCGTGTTTAGTCCATAACAACTTTTTTTAACTCGGACAATCCCTACTATTAGACATAAAAAGATAGTTTTACCCTTATAATTTTATTTTCATATTTATTATAGTTTTTTGTTATTCAAAAATATTGAAAAAGTTCATATGGGTCCCACCACCAAAAATACTCATTTTACTCCCCTCTCTTGCACCTTCTAACGATGTAATCTGCATCATCTCCATAATCAACTCCCAACGTTGACTGTCTCATCCCTCCATCTTCACCGACGAACTGCATATCTATTTTCCCTTTTCCTTTCTCTACTATGAAACTCAACATGACCATCTTCCCTTCCTATTTAAAGATTCAACAAGAATTATAATCACCAGAATCCAAAATCCGCGATAGACACCACCAACAACCACAAAAACCCCCACAGGCACCAAATAAAATAAAATCAAAGACAAAGTTGAAAATCAAAATAAACCTAAAATCAAAGCTTAAAACCGACCTAGAATAAAACGTGAAATCAGAGTGCAAAACCAAACCATAATAACACTTGAAATCTAGTAACAGGGTCAGGAGGTTGCAACCAGAGTGACGATCAGAAAAATGGAGAAACGTTGGTGAGTTTTTTTCGTAACAAGGATGAACAACAACTGATTTCTAAGATATGGGTTTACAAACAATTTTGAAATCCCGATTCCAAAATAAAATCAAAATCTATCGTAAGGAACCGACCATCAATCTATAAAACAAAAACCAAAAAACATATGGGGTTTCTGAAACGACAATCAATGTCTTGATAACATCGATTTCAAAAATCGCTAACGATTGTTTTTGTGGTTCTCCTTCAAACAGGGTGTGTATGAATTGTATTTTTTTTTTCTTGACTTATAATCGAGGCTCATTGAAAACAAAAATTAGGATGTAATCGACTAAGGGAGAGATGCAGACAGTCGTGAAAAGGGAGAAGAAGGAAGGGTGGATGGTGGTGGCTGCGTATGAGACCCACGTTGGGTAAAAGGCGAAAAAGGAGGGTTACAAGTTGTTCTTCGATGTTGGTGGTATATATCGAGAATGAAAAGGATAAGTGGATTGTGGAGAAAAATCAATAATCGATAGTCGATGGTGAATATGGAGGTGATTTCGTCAGTTTAGATGCAGGTGGAAGAAGAGACGAAGTGAAGAAGAAGGGGAAGAGTTCACGTCGTGCTTAGGCTTTTAGGGCATTCTTGAATAATTTTTTTTAGTATATTAATAATATGAAAATAATAAAATATTAGAAATATTTATTAGGGGCAATATAATCTTTTTATTTTGGACATCACCAAGCCTGCAACAAAAATATAAAATAAGGATAGTCCAAGTTAAAAATTTTGTTACGAACAAACACACAAATTACCATATACCAGAGGGACCATAGAGGGACCATCCGTGCAAATTACCCATTTTAGAAAGATACCAAGAATGAGTGTTAGAACAAGAGTATGTTTTTATAGTAGGTGAATGAGAGTTGCTCCTCCCATTCCTATTGTACATGTAAATGTTATCTAAAATCACAATGACAATATTTAGGGATATTAATAAAATTTACCATTATGAATGAAAGTTTCAGTCAATAACCAAGCTTTTTGTATTTTACAAAAATGACCATGTTATCCTAAATGAGGTCTTCAAGCCCAATCAAAAATATGTAATGTATATTTTTTTCTTATTTGTACAAAAAGCTCTATACTTATGTCGAAATTTTTGTTTCGAAGTGTCTAACATTATTATTTTCAACAAAATGATACATTTAATCCCATGTATAGTATGTACTTCCAATTTGTTATGTTTCTTTACATTTTTGTTAGATTTTAGTAAAAAAAGCATATCTTTTTTTTCTAAATTTCGGAAATGTTAATCAAATTTTTGAATAGTATTTTACTGTTTGAAATCTAAAATGTTAATTCTTATTATTTTGTTTGAAAAATACTTTTTATTTGACATAAAGTAGTTTAGAATGCCTCATTTGGAAAAGTTGTGTATTTTCTAAAAAATAAAATTTGATTATTTTCTCAAATATTAAATTCAAAAGTTGATAGTTTTATAAATATCCCCTGTTAATCTATAAAAAATAATATGAACAATCATGACACCTACCAAATTAAATCGATTTAAAATTTTTAGCAAAAGATCAACATGACCGACCTAATGACGCATACAACTTATATCCCCCTTTTAAAAGCTTGATATCACAGACTCAAGTTTGACACTACTTCTTGCCCGTGTGGCATCTCGAGGTCACCATAAAACGGCGAGAGTAGCCCTCCCAGATTACGCATGACAATTGGTTTCTCCTTGCCATGAGCTCACTGTAATATCTCAAAAATACGGGCCAAAAATTTCATTTTTAAATATATTATTATAAAACCAACAGTATAAGAAAACATCCATAATATCATGTCATTTCAAAACCAACGTAGAAATAATCAAAACATGTTATCATGAAACAATATCAGAGTGTAATCCCAAAGATCTCATGTGCGGAAAGCCATAGTGTGATGCGCTGCGATCAAGCCGGCCCCTTTCCTTTAAACACGAAGTACCTGAAACCAAAACTGAAAACCGTAAGCACAAAGCTTAGTGAGTTCCCCCATCATACCTCATACCATACAATCACATAGCATACATACTGTCGGGCAATTCTGGGGTGCCCAACCTACCCGTGTCAAGCCATTCTGGGGTGCTGACCTACCCGTATCAAGCCATTCTGGGGTGCTGACCTACCCATGTCGAGCCATTATGGGGTGCTAACCTACCCATGTCAAGCCGTTCTGGGGTGCTGACCTACCCGTCGGTCCTAACAACCGACCCTCGGGGACTATTCCACCCCCTACTGCTACTATCACATACATCATAACATAAACATATTATCAGTCATATCAGGGGTGCCTGAACTACCCTTCGGTCCTAACAACCGAACACGGGGACTGGTCCCCTCGTACTACCTCTATCGCATATAACATAACATAACAAGCCAGCATGCAATCATATCATCACATACTGTCAGACGTATCTGGGGTGTCTGACTACCCTTCGGTCCTAACAACCGAACTCGACTACTATCACATACAACATATCATGCGAGCATATAACATATCAGGTAGTAGCAAATGTAGATGATATCACAAAGACAATTATCTATCATACGTCTCCTACTGGTGGGCCGACATTGTGGCCTTAGACCCACCGCTACTGGAAGGTAACTCACCTCACACTGTTGAAGTCCCGCAGACTCAACCCCAGCTGTTGGATGACAGATTTCCGAAGTGTCAACACCAAACCAACACCTAATTAATAATTGGGTCCCAACACATAACCATAACACATACTTGGGTAATTACTACATTACCCCAGGCTTGGCTTATTTAAGCCCAATAAGGCCCAAATGAAAGGTCCAATAATAACTCCAAGTGAAATTAGGGTTTCACATAAGATGATGATTAGGGTTAAGTTTCCTACTTAACCCATTAAGGACTTGATCCATTAAGTCCATCATTCTTCTAAATAAGTCGTATGGTGTGATTGAGCTTAATCACACGATTCCATTTCAACGGCCCAAAAGTGGGTCCCGATAAGTTCAAGGCCCACATATCCAAAAATTAGGGTCTTCTAACCCAATAGCATGCCAATTAGTTCATTGGCTAAGTTTTCACGTAATTCAATCCATATATATATATATATATATATATATATATATATATATATATATATATATATATATATATATATATATATATATATACAAATTATCATTTCATTAAATTACAAGTGGATTTCACGGCCATAAGTTATCATCCTTTTTAGATAAATTATGGTCTAAAATAAGCCCAATTCATAAAATCAATTACATGCCACTAGCCCATTAGCTAACTTGATCACCAACCCATTAAAGGCCCAACAAAGTTCAAATAGCGTACCTAGCTTCCAGGCGACGCACAAGAGAAGTTCCTCCATTGTGGTTGAATCCTCGTTCATTAGAACCGCAACCTCCACAACCAAGTTAAGAATCGCACAAACCCACACCCTGACCGTTATTGATTTCTCACCTTCTTTCTGGCCATCAAAGAATCGAAGACTAGCACCTTGCCTCTCCCTTACTGTGTTGCTGGAGGTCCCAAGACAGTCGCCGGAAAGTCAATAGGCCAAGAAAATGGGATTAAACCCATCAATTAATCTCTTTCTAATCGAATTCATCAATGGGAGATAAGAAATCAAAGGATGCATTGAGTCTTACCTACCTCCACTGCTTTGGAGAACATACGGGCTTTGTCGGAGGTTCACGCAAAGATGGAGAATAACGCAAACAACAACCCCACCAGGTTCACGGTATCGAGCAGATTTTGAGCTGAAGGAATGATCCCGTTCTCGCTAAATAAACACCCACCTCTCTCTTTCTCAACTAACGCTTCAGTGAGAGTTCCGACTGGCGAAGAAGCCCAACGATGGCAGCTCCTTCCTCACAGTTCTTCTTCTTTCACCTAATTCCTTCACAACTTCGATGTCTCTCACCCTCTCTCGCCGCCAGTGAACATACATCTCCTTCATTCTATCTAAGGGTTTGTTCCTTATATAACTCGATGATGCAGGTGAAGCAACAAGAGCAGGAGAAAGCTCCCTCCCTCACGCTCTGTCGCTTACAGGGGGGACCAGATGCTTAATTCTCGAAGATTGGCATAAATAGTCCTTGATGTTTGGTCACCTTACACATATAACCCCCCCTTTACCCAAAATTCCATTCAAGCTAAGTTTCTAAAATGTATCAAAGGACCCTCTTATTTCCTAATTCTTTCAAATTATCTCCAAATTTACCATATAGCCCCTCCTTTACGAAATATTTCCAATATAAGTTGAAAATTAATTACAAAACGAGCCCAATTGATTATCCCTTAGCCATATGTTCAAATATTCTTCCCATTACAAACCCTGGAAGCACTCTTTAGACCTCCAAACAAATTATAATTCCAATTACACCCTTTTTACTAAACTCGTATTTAAATATATACATATATCGAAATAAAATAATGCTTAACACCCATCTTCAGATTTTTAGGTTTGTCTTGGAAATGGGGTGTTACACTCACAAGGGGAGCGACACTAGCTCCAGACCAATTGTGTCTAACTCGCTATTATACCTTCATTGCCAACCTCTTCGGGGACTCGGCTAAATGACAACGACTAAACTAAGAACGCCCTTAGTATAGACGAACCCCTTTTGGACCCAATAACAAGCTAATCTAATGTCATGATATTCGTCTTCCCAGTCAACACAGTCACGAGATATCTGACCCGTGATATTGTGTAACGTCCCAAAAGTCATTATAATTTTTTTTTTAAGTTTAAGGGTAAACAAAACCATTCCAATAAAACCAACATCACAAAACATTTGTTTTCTCAAACTCGTAAGACAAAAACCAATCTACTCTAAGAAATAAAGGTTTTTTCTTGTCACACGTCACATTCTCATTCAATTTATCAAATGTTATTTTGTGGTTATTTTGAATTAATTTCTTCTCCAAATATCATTTTATAGGTTTTTCTATTTTAATAAATTTCACATAATACTTTAATGTAATAATTAGAATAGTAATAAATGAATATCAATTTCATTAATGGACTTACATTTTTATTTAAAATTCCTAAATTAAAGTTTATTAGTTTATTTTGTTTATTTATTTAAATTTAAAAGAAAAATCAATTTTAATAATTCATTATTTTTCTTATTTTCTTATAAATTAAAAGTTTTTAAATATTTAGACTTATATATTAAATTTTTTTTAATTAACTCATGTAATGTCTTCATTCATCAACCGTTGTCTATCCTCCATCCTCGGCAAAGATCTCCTACTCAACCTCAAGTTGCACCCCATTGTCTTCCTTAAAGATTACTTCATATCGTTCTTTCCTTGCCGGAATTCGATACAGAAACATAAAACACCCTAGCTCGCTTCCTCGAAACACTTTGCTATGTCATCAATTCCCCGTTTGATGATGTTTCAGTCACTTATTCCCTCAAATATCAACTACATCTATAGTCATACGTTCTATCGTCGATAACAGTGAGTATACTAGTATAGTAGTAAAACATATTGTTTGACTTACACAAGTCAACTTAAGGGTTTGAATTAAAGTGTTGGTGACAGTTGTAAACCACCCAAAACCATGGTGTAGATTGACAGCTAAGCAATCTCGAAGGTAAATGTTTCAATTCTTACAACTTCAATTTAGTTGATACCATTCTATGTTCCTCAATTTTTGATCGGATAAGGTTCGGCTAGAGAGAATTTTGTTTTACCGATTAAGGAATTAAGAAGGGTAATGTCTTTTTTTCTTGAATGGCCTCCATTTTTTTACATCTTTTGGGTTATTTGAGTTCATGTCCATTATAATGTTGGTATTTGAAATTCCCCGTAGCTTTTAGTGGATTAGAAAATTTCTTTCTCAATTTCAGACTGAAATACCAAAATATACAAGAATTTCGGGATCTAAATTCCACTATAACATCTCATCATCTAACTTGGCATCGTAACCTCTTATAAGGGGTCAAGTGACATTTTCAACCGATCACATTCTACTTCATTCCTTTTTAGGGATGAGCATATAGACCAGGGAACCGGCCAGAACCCATACCGAAACCGGAACCCAATGGAACCAGTCGAGCCGTGACCGAGACGATATTTTTGTGGATTTTTGGAACTGGGAACCGGTAGAACCAGATGTTGCTATTTCTTGAGGACCAGTTCCAACATTTGAAGACACGACAAGAATCGGTAGAACTGACGTTCCAGTTCGGTTCCTAGTTTTCATCAAGTTCAGTTCCATCCGGATCGGTTCCTTTGCTCATCCCTACTCTTTTTAATGCAAAAATAATAATTGAATGACTTTTAAAACAAATGAAAAATTAGGTTAAAATGACATTTTTACTTAATAATACGTTAGAGTCTACAATCAAATCAAATTCAAATTTCACACCTACAAATTCTACTTGGACCCATCACCAATGCAACAAAAAAACATATATACGAGTTGTATATATACAAGTAGACTTTACAATGTACAAATAAGCATACATGTACAAATCTCGATTCAAATTAACCTATATCGATGCACATGTATAATTTTACTAGGAAAAAAAACCGCAATTACTAAAATATGTGGCACAAAAGCCACTACAATTAAGATCAATTTGTAAGGGTTATTTTGTAACGAACTACCACGACTACTACCACCGATCTGACCAGCATTCACATATTCACTTCTTCCACCACTTGAACTCGTCGACACATTTACAGATGACGTACCTAATAACATCAACAATCGAAACCAAAACCCATCAAATTTTGACTTTCAAAAGTCAAATTAGAATGTAGAGTATTCGAAAGATCAAATTTTGACATTTTGTTCATATGATCGAGAAACTTACAGTCGTAATTCGCCCAACCAATCCGTTGACCACCAAGATCATAAACAACAATCCTATCTTTTAAAACAAGATCTGCAATCAAATTAATAACAATACAAGTTAATAACAATGAAAAAGTAATCTTTTTTTTTTTTTTTGACATTTTTGTTTATTATATATACCATTATACCTCCTAGAATGGTAATTCCCTGTCCACGAATTTTCTGAAACCCTATGCACCACAGTGAAGCCCCACCCTATAGAAACGAGATCATATCGTTCACATAATCCCAATTTCTGTATAATGTAAAGTGTAAGATATGAATCAGAACTTACCACCGAGTTCTGTTGAAGAAGATAGTCTTGGGGTCTTAAAATCATCGAAGCACCGCCGGCGAAATTCAGGCTTACAGTCGGAAATATCTCCGGCGTACTGAAATATTATCAAAAGGTTTTCCATGTTACGTTCATCGCAATGTAAAACATAGATTAAAGGAAATGTAGGTTATGGGTAGTTGATTGATGAAGAAAACCTTGAGGAAATTACGTAACACTGATCACCCTTTGAGGTAATTGGCCGGACGAATTGTGAAACAGACTGTGTAATCTGCATGAACGGAAGTCGGAAGTAGTTGTTTAGATGAAAGTGACGATGAATTTGACAAATTTTTCTCCAATTTCAACTTACAGCATCAACGAAAGGATCATAAGCTTCTTCCGCGAGGTATGAAAGAGTAGTTCCGCAATCGATTATCGTCCCCCCTCGATTCCCTGATGTTGCAAATAATGACGGATCGATTGACAATGGTTGTCCGTTCACAGAAATGCTTAACAGATCTATGTTGTAATGTGGTCTGCATGGATGCACATGTTAGCATTTGTAATGTTATATGATAAGAGATAAGCGAAAGAGAACTTACTGTGACTGGATTAATGGAGTATACACCATGGTTGGCTCGATTATCTGACCTAAAACCAAAATCCCACCATCACCACCGTTTCCGACGAGACAATGAGAGAAAGCATCTGGAGCTATCCCTTGTGAAGAAAGCTGCGCGATTACAGAGAGTCCTTGTTGACCGAATCCAAAGATTCCGTCAATGGCTCTATCGGGTTTGGTTAAGTCCCCAGTTTGGGATGTGCTACATCTGGTTCATAAACTTGCCAAGTCAATTAGGGTTTTTTTAATGAAAAATGAAAGGGGTTAATGGATTGGGGATGAATTACCCGAATACGATAGATGCTGAAGCGTTTGATGGTTTTGAATCGCCGACGATTATATCAAGATGGATTAGATCGGAAACGTAATACCCTGACGTCCCGCTACCATCTCCATACTGGAATGTGTAACTGCATTGGTGATTGGAATTGGAACAGCCGGAATCAGAAGATTGAGTTCCTAAAGAACAACGTCGATCTGAGCAAGATATCAGAGAAGCTGTTGATGATGTTGAAGGATCATAGAACTGAATTGGAATCTATTGATAGAAAAAGAGAATATAAAAATGGTATTCGAAAATCGAGAATGAGATTCGTAATAAGAAATGGTTAAAATAGTACTTCGAGTCCACTGGATCTAGGGCAACCGTCGCATGAACTGCAACTGACCCACAATACATCACTTCCGGTATCGATTTGTACGTAATATTCCTTTGGAGGAGAACCCAATTGAACTCTTGTAAAATAAAGCCTACAAAGTTCATGGAATTGATGATCTAGATTACAAACATTATACTATAAATCGAAGAATGTAATTGCGGTTTACAAAAAAAGCTCAAGAACTCAAGAGAAAATCAAGAAATTACCCAACACGATAAGGATCATAAGTTCCTTGAACAGGGAAAACAACAACACTTGCTGCAGAAGAAGACCGCTGGTGCTGCTGCTGCAAGATTCTTGGGTGCCTGAAACTATCTTTGTATCTAAGTTCATTCAATTCAACTAGATGATTCGTCGGAAAAGCTCTCTCCAACTTAAGAATGGTGGGAAACGCACAAAGGACGAAAGCTGTCTGCAACAATACGGCGACAGCAGCGCCGGCAATGGTCGACGCCACCGGCATTCCGGCAAGAAAAAAACCCCGCATTCCTTTTCTCTCTTTCTCGTTCTTTCCCTGTATTCAGTAGTTTCAGACTGAGTAAAATGCAAGATCGACTCGATGAAGGTGTCTGTTTGTATAAAACGGGTGTTTATTGAAGATTGAAGAGAATGACGGGGACAAAATCAAGGAGGGGTTGATTCTTTGTTTGAGAGAAAGAAATTTTGTGTTAAGATCAAATTCAATCCTTTTGAATTGAGTTCTTTATATCATAAGGTAGTTTTTTTCCTCCTAAAATCGAAATTCTGAATTCTAAATGATTATTTAAAAATTCACTGAATTAATTTAGGTTTAGTAGATTTAGTGTTATTAGGTAAAGGGTGTTATGATGATTTTGCCGATGATAAAAAAGTGTCACATACACGTCACATAAACTTTTATAATTTTTGCAACACTTTACCTATTGATGGAGTGTGGTAGTTTTTTTACCCAACGGTTATATTGAGCTTTTACTAATGGTAAAAGTCTCCCACATATAGCCTTATAAGAGAATCTTTCGTAAGAAACCTTTTAATCTGTATACAAAAGTTGGGTAAGTTACTACAACAAAGTTGACTTACAATCCACAAAATCATATAAGGACAAATTTAGGGGTGTTGTGTTGCACAATCCTTATAAATCATACCAAAATCTCACTTGTTAGTGTAAGCCACGTCAATTTGAAACTCTAATCAATCCAATGCAGAATGTGTCACACATTATACCTTACTAATATTCCACTGCTTGTAGGATAACGTGAATTATGGAATCTTGGTGATAAATTTAGAAAAATGATTGTTGTGTTCATGACGCAAAGATTATCTAAGATAGGAAATTAACCATTTGGGTTTGTTAGATATATTCGTGTTAACAATTTGGAAAGGGTGATTGCACAAGTTTGTGATTTTTTGATTAGGAACCTCAAACTGTGTAAGTCTAAGACTAAGTTCGATCGGAGTATAAATAATCCAGAAATTACTAAATACGGCGGCAACATAAATATAAGGTCACAACATAATGACTACATTAATAAGCAACAAGTAACTGAAAGTACCAAGAACTAATAGGTCGTTGGCATAGTGGTATTGTAAGATGCCCTCCCTCGAAGAGGTTACTCTCAAGTCTTGTAACACTCGATTTTGGTAAGTTTTGTATTTAACCTCTTTATTCTAAAACGTTTGCAAATTTGGTCCTTAAGCTAGTACGTGGGGAGTACTAGGTGATACATGATATGGACATATTTAGTCATATAATTTATATATTATCTTAATACTTTATGTTGATTTTATTTCATTTAATGAACAAAAGATGCTTAATTAGTTTATAATTTCATTTTTCAGCAACAATGACATGCTCGGATGGAAAAGGAAGCGGATTTAGCAATTGGAAGCTTAGATCTTCGATTTTGAAGAAAAAATGATGTTGCTGGACAGCTTGACCTCTCGTCAGTATTTTGGTCATATCTCATGAACCGTAGCTTCAATTGACGAGATACAAAATGTTCTGAAAACTAGACACGATTTCGGACGACTTTCATGTTTTGAGAAATTGTTGATTCCAAACGGACTCGACGAGTTGGGCCTCAACTCGACGTGTTGATCAGAAAGTTCGCGATTCTCGACGCTGTCTTGTCGTACACGGGATTTTAAGTGATGGACTCGGTGAGTCCAGTGACAAATGGGGGAAGTTTAGAACGATTTTTGGAGGCCATAAGGGTTCTTAGAAGCTGTGGTTTTTGAGATTTCAACTTAGATATCAATTTGGAAGAAAATCAAAGGCAATAACACATCACTTTTATCTTAATCTTTTGCATGAACCATGTTTCAATCATTAGATTATGTTTTTAGTTTGTTATTTGCTGTAGATATGAGCTAAAAACTCATAACTTCTGTTTAGGATAGATGATTTTATGAATACGATTTGATTTTATGATTGGATTAATTTAATTTGGTGATTTTGTTTTGTTAAGCTTGATAAAGAACCTTATGTGTTAATTACAACTATTTTCTGTTAATTAACCAGTAATTAAGTTGCATGAACATCTCTTAGTTGCTAATCTCATATGATTTATGTGAAAACATTGTTATATGCCTAGGAATAGCGAACGTGAAACTAGGGTTAACTAGAAAATAGGTACGGTAATGTGTGAGCTTGTGTGACAAACCATCAACAAGGAGTTAATTGAATTAGCATATTGATTAGCTCATTACAAGTCTTACTTTACCCGAATCAATAAACTATGAAATCTATTAGTTTAATCACTTGATCACTGCTTGAATTAATTTGTTTTCTAAGGATTAGTAATAGCGAACGTGAACCTAATCACACTAATCGGTAGCTAAAGCCAATTAATCCATTGCACTTGCCATAAAATCAACCATAGGATTAAATGATTCAAACCTAAACAGAAGTCTCCTCCATTACCGAATCTAGTTGTCTTTTGTTTCTCCTTAGTTGTTAATTGTCCTTGTTAAAGAGTTTAAGTAGTTGCTTAAGTTTCTAGTCTTGAAAAACTAGAGAAACCCCCTTTCTATTACTTGTTTTATTTAGATAATATTAGCATTTATTTTAATTGTTTACTGTTCACTGTGTTCGATGCCCTACTTTCTTGAACTATATTACTAATCAATAGGTACATTGCCTTTCGCGTATTTATTTTGTGTCTAAGTTAGTAGGATTAAAACTAGTGCATTCCACACACATCAGTACACTTAGCGTACTAGCCTGATTCATGACCGCAGAGCTCATTCACATATGATGGGAGTACGTATAGTACACATGGCGTACGTAAGCATTAATGAAACCCTAATTTTTAGGGGTTGCACCCTATTTAAACCTTGTGATATCCTCATTTGGTCATGTTTGGCCAGCCTCCACCCTCATTTGTCCAGAAATCGAAACTCTAATGTGTGTTTGTGAGTTTTGAGCCTTAAAGTGTGTTTGTTGGTGATTTGTGAAGGAGGATAAGAATAGGACCATTTGGAGAAGTGTCTTGAGCTTGAAGATCCAAAGTTAGCTCATCATTTGAAAGCTTTTTGAGGTAAAAATCTCACATCTTGGTGATCCATGATGCTAGATCTAGTTATGTTGTTATTTTATGCTTTTTGAGTCCTTGGAGTGGTTGATGAGCTTATTGACTCACTCCAGAAGTTAGGGTGTTAGATCTAGGCTTCTTTTGGTCCCCTTATTCATAAAAATGCAAGCTTTATAATGAATCATGGACCATGCATATGTTAAGACCTTGGTTAAGTCCTTTTTGAGCTCCTGAGCCCTATTAAGACATGCATGAATGTAAAGTTTCCAACTTTACGTGAATAGTCACCCTAAGGAATCATATCTGAGAGTTTGCCTTGAAGTATCAATGGATTAAGTGCTTAATGAAGTGGGGTGGTCAATTGGGGAGTACGATGGGAGTACTAAGTTGGTACGTTGCGTGTACTAGCCCCAGAGGGAGTAACCTAAGCGAACGAGCTGAGTACGCCCCACGTACTCAGCAGGTGGGCTTCGGATTTTAGGCTTCTTGGTTTTGGCCCCATATTTGGACATTAGGAGATTAGGGCCTTGTTGGGCCATCAGATCTTTATTTTAGGATGATGTCATTATGTTGGATTCCTTTGGTTGAAGGCTCATGAATGGATTTGGGCCCAATTTGGAATATTGGGCCATATTTGTGCCTTGGGTGACCATTTTGGAATTGGGCATTTTTAAGTAGTTGGTTTGGGATTTGCCCTCGGGCCAAGCTAGGTAATGGGTAAAATGGTCTTTTACCCTAGTTTAGACTCTTAGTGTAAGTCGGGATCCAATTATTAATTAGATGTTATGTTATGATGATAGCGCGGGGATTTTCGGACCAGTAGCCACAGATTTATCTATGAGATTTATCTGTGAGACTCTTAGGGGTTGTTTGGCAGGATCTGAACTTTTAAGCTCTGAATTTTTAAGAGGTCTGAATTTCTAAAAGGGTCTGAATTTTTAAGATCTGAATTTTTTAGACCACTTTACCCTTTGTATTATTTTTTGTTGAATTCAATTTTTATGTTTATAAAATACAATTCTGTAATAGGAAAAAGTGAAACTAATGATGCTATAATAGAGAACTCATTAAAATACATTGCTATTTCTTATATTTGACACCATACAAAATCTAAATTAAACACAAATCCAAAACGCCACATAAATTCTTTCAAATCCATGAAAACATATAAAATACCTTGGAGTGATAAGCAAATCTATTAGAAAAAGAAAAGTGATCAGGAAAAACAACTAATGTTCAAGCTAAAAAAATACATCCATAATCTTTCTCCATCATTACATGAAACATGCCCTTTGATAGCCTCTCAATTTTTCTTTCCAATATTTCAACCTGCAATTGATAAAACAACAAAACAAATAAGCACAATGGAAATATATACAATCATTAAATGGAAGTATTTTTAAAGACTTCAAATTTGAATTGATCATTATAAAACTGAAAGGGAATAGAAAAATAAATCCCTGAAATTTGTACAAGTCCAATTAATACACATTCCAAAAGTGACACCAACATCTTGATAACTAAAGTACATAAATGAAACACTGACATTCAAAACCTATGCACAACTCCAGAAAAAACCCCTCTAAAATCGATCAATCAACCAAAAATCCGGACAAATTCGAAGGACGAACACAACTCTAGAAAAAACATCTCCATATTGAAAATCGAGTTTTAGGGCTTTTGATTTCCAGAAAAAAAAACTAAATAACAACCATCTAGGAATAGATAATCGATTTTTAGGGCAAGAAAGAAAAATATTTACCTAGAACCGGTGGGAGGGAGAAGGGGAGATGGTATCAGAGTCACTTCAGGGTTGTCGATGTCAACTTCACTGGCGGGGCTGGTGTCGGAGGTGGAGGGAGACTGGCGGAGGGTTGCAGATTGGAGATGGAGCGGGAGGGAGAAGGGGGTGGTAGCGTTGATGGAGTAGAAATAAATGAAGAATATGGTTCCTAAAATGTTATAAGGGGAAAATGGAATAGGCGTCTTTTCTTTCAATTCAGAGATGGTTTCACATCTGAAAGATGCTACCAAACACACTGAATCTAAAAATTAAGAGACTGCCTCTTAATTTTCCAATTAATAGGCAAACAAACAACCCCTTAGTGTAATTATTAATCGGTGTGTTTAGCGGGTCGAAGGCA